AGGAGCGGGGCCAGGCAGGGCGCAACGCCCACGCGGCCGACGCCTGGCAGGCCCTCCAAGAGCACCAAGAGAGGCAGAGGAAGAGGGCCGCTGAGGCAGGAACCGTGAGGAAGAGGGCCGCTGATGAGGCAGAGGAGGCTGAGAAGGCAGAGGAGGACGAGACCTGGGGCGCCTGGGGGCCCCAGCACATGCCCCAGGGGCCCCGGCATATGCTCCAGAGGCCAGCGTCTAATGCGCCTCCGAGGAAGGCGAAGGGTGCCCCGCTGAAGCACAAGCCTGCTCCGAAGGCTGCTCATGAGCAGACTGCGCCCCGATCGCGCGCGCCCAGGCCGAGGTGGTCCCAACCTCCCGCAGCGCGCCCTGGCCCAAGGCGCCGCAGCCACAGCCAGAACGAACCAGCCGTGGGCAGCCCGCTCGCAAGCAGCAGGTTCGAGGAGGGCCGAGGAGGAGAGAGCGGCGCTCATCCGCGAGAGGAAGATGGAGATGGCGACGTTGGTAGCGCACAACAGGATTCGGAGCACCGAGGCACGGGAGCTGCAGGGGCGCCTCGAGCAGGCGCAAGCCGCGTTCGAGGCGGCGCAGGCATCGCGGGGCGCACGGCGAAGAAACCATCAGCGATGAAAGAGCACGCCGATTCAGGATTAACGCGGCACCGTTGCGAGCGCCTCGGCTAGGGCGCTCGCAAGGGCGTCGCACGCGATGTCCTGAATGAGATGTGGCTTCCACGCGCAATGATGTCATCGCCCGCGCGCTGCCATAGGAGGACGTTACGGCGGCGCTCCAGCAGCAGGCACAGGCCCAGGATAACCTTCTGCATATTCAACAGGACGCTGCGGGCGCCGAGCAGCAGCAGCTCGGGGCCCACGCGCTTCTCAGCCACATTGAAGCTGCCCGACTGGAAGCGGGGGAAAACATGCTATTAGCGCGCAATGCTCCCCGCGATGCCCATGGTGATCTCGTGGCACTGCAACCACAGCAGACCCCACCGCCGCAGACGCAGCAGATCCAGCAACAGCCGCAGCAGTACCAGGTGCAGCAGGACTGGCTGCAGCAACAGGAGCAGCAGCAGCAAGCCTGCAACTGGCAGGCTCACCAGCAACCCGCGACGGCGGGAGGTGGTGCAGGGCCAGGCGCAATGACCCCAGCCGGCTTCCAAGCGGCGCAGGAGATGCTGCGGCCGAAGCAAGCTTGCGGGGCCCACGCGGGTGGCCCAGCATGCTTCCAGGCGCCCCCACAGGGGCCGCCGCCACAGCAGCCGTGGCAGATCCAGCAACACCCGCAGAAGATCTGGCAACCGCAGCAGATCCAGCCGCAGCCGCCGCAGCAGATCCAGCAGCAAGGAGCGACCCAGCAGAAGCAGCAGTACACTCCAGCAGAATGGGAACTGTGGCATCTGCAGCAGACCCAGCTCCAGCAGCAGCAGACCCAGCTCCAGCAGGAGCAGATGCAGCGCCAGCAGGAGGAGACGCGGAGGCTCCAGCAGCAGCTGGATCAGCTTCAGCGCCAGCTGCAGCCGCTGCCCCCAACGCAGCCGCCGCTGCAGCCGCTGCCGCAGGCGCCGCGGCAGCAGGCGCAGCAGCCGCCCCCATGGCAAGCCCCGCCACAGCAGGCGCAGCAGCCGCTGACAGTGCCGCAGCCTGTGGTCGAAGCGATGACCGTGCTCCTGCTGCGCGCGTCCCCAGCTGCCAGGGGGGCGCCGCCGCCGACGCCCGCGCCGCTTTGAGCGCAGGCCCTTTCCGCTCGGGCGCCCGCGGAGCAGCGCGCTTCGTCGGCGCGCTGAGCCTGCCCGAGAAAGCGCGCTTTGGCAAAGGCTCCTGGGAGGTGCGTGTGTGTGTGTGTGCGTGTGTGTGTGGTGTGTGTATGTGTATGTGTATGTGTGTGCGTGTGCGTGTGCGTGTGTGTGTGTGTGTGTGTGTGTGTGTGTCTGTGTGTGCGTGCGTGCGTGCGTGCGTGCGTGCGTGCGTGCGTGCGTGCGTGCGTGCGTGTGTGTGTGTGTGCGTGCGTGCGTGCGTGTGTGTGTGTGTGTGTGTGTGTGTGTGTGTGTGTGCGTGCGTGCGTGCGCGCGTGCGTGCGTGCGTGCGTGCGTGCGTGCGCGCGTGCGTGCGTGCGTGCGTGCGTGCGTGCGTGCGCGTGCGCGTGCGCGTGCGCGGCGCGGCGGCGGCGCGGCGGCGGCGGCGGCGGTGGCGGGCGGGGGGGTGTGTGTGATATCAGGGGGCGATGGGGGGGGGAGGGGGGGGGGTGGGGGGGGGGGGCGTTAGAGATGGCAAGGGGGGGGGGGGTGGGGGGGGAGGGGGGGGAGGAAAGGGGAGGAGGAGGGGTGGAGGGAGGCGATGCGAGGGAGGGAGGGTGGCGAGGGAAACAAGGGAGAGGAGGGGGCAAGGTCGGGAGGGAGGGGAGGGCGCGCCAAAAATAACACATTATAGTCTATGTTACGTGGATCCCCAGGGCCCAACCATGTATAAAAAATGGTATGTTGTATGGTCGTTTGTGTTCTAACTATTTTTATTTGCTAACCTAATTATGTATTCAACATATATTTATACACTATTTCAAGTAAACATGTATCCCCAGGGCCCCTCCATACAGAAAATCCAATAATCTATTTCAAGTATGGCTATAGGATTCTCATTGCTTCTATTTGTAAGCCAATTGAGTTAATGTAAGACTATGTCAATTCACATAAACGTGTATCCCAAGGGCCCAATCACAATCAACATAACATATTGTATGATAATGATGGTTATATGCTTTCTTGTTGTTGTTTTTTAAGTATAAGCCTATTCAAGTCAAGCAAACTAGATTATTTCAATTCAACCTGGATCCCCAGGGCCCAACACTACTCAACGTAAAACGTTTCAGCTTAATCCAACGTGGGTCCCCAAGGCCCAACCATACATAAAATAAAAATATGTCCTGTCATATATGACCGCATGTGCGTAGATTGGTTTTGATTGCAAACCCACCAGCAACACATAGCATCTTGCATGTTATTGTTGCTGTGATCTAAACAACCAATCATATATAAACTAAATTATGTTATGCTATCTTTGGCGCGCCTTGTCTCTCCCTGATCACCCCGCCACCCCCCATCCCCTCTCATCCCCTTCCCTCCATGTCTCCTCCTCCCCTTCCCCGCCCGTCCCGTCCCCTCCCTCCCCCCCCCCTCCCCTTTCCCTCCCCCCCCTCGCCCTCCCCCCCCCTCCGCCCCCCTCGCCCCCCCCCCCCCTCCCCTTCCCTCCTCTCCCCCCCCTCTCTCCCCCCCCCCCCCCCCCGCCCACCTCGTTCCTTCTCCTCCTTCCCGTCCTCGCTCAGGGGCCCCTCGGCTAAGGGGCCCCTTTCGACCCCCCCGTTCCTCCCCGCGCGTTTCGCGTCGATCTCCGCGCCGCGGGCGCTTGGGCTCGAGCCCCGATTCGGTTCCAAACCTCGGGGGGCGCGGCGGCATGGTAGCAGAGTTGCTTGTCATATTGGCTCTTGTGTCGGATTCGCAATGGGCACGTTGGCAGGGAAACGTTGCGGCGCGGGGGCGCCCGCGGTGAAGCCGCCGCCCGAGCAGCCCGAGATGGCCGAGGTGCAGCCGCCCCCAAACGCGCCCATGACCCCCACTTCGAAGACGATGTACCACCTCTCCAAGGCGCGCCAGCACATCGGGGATCGCTCTACCATCGCGCGCGTGCGCATGGACTGCCTGCGCGAGAATGCGCGCGAGAACTTGCGCCAGCGCCGCGCGCTGGAGAGCGTGCGAGACGACGTGAGAGCGTGTCCGCCCGCTTCGTGAAGTGCGCGCGCCGGTTCGGAGTTTTTGATTAAAGTGCTCGCCGCGGGAGGGCGCCCCCCCCCCCCCCTCGTTCTCCTGCGTCGCTCCTCGTCGGAGGCCCCATCGGCTCAGGGGTCTCCGCCGCCTCGCCCTATCTCCCCCATCCGCGCGCGGGCCATTGTCGCGAGAACCCGCGAGGGGGTCATGCACCGCGCCCGTTCCGTAGACGTTTAGGCTCAGACACAGCGATCGGGATTTTTTCTTGCACGCCCTACGTTGCCCAAGCGCGCCAAAACCTACGACCCCAGCTCAGAACCTGCGCGTGCGAGATTTAAGAGCAACGCGGGAGATCTCCCCGCAAATAAGGTCGTCGGCGGCAGGAGAGGTTCGGAACTTTTGAGAGACGCCGAAGCAGCGGGCGCTGCGGGCTTGCAGTTCGCCCACCGCAGCAGCGCAAAAAAAAAAGCGCCGGGGCCACCCCCGCAAATCCAGTCGGTTCATCCGAAAATTCTGCACCAAGCGCACGGCGCGGCCGCCAGAATACCGAGCGCAAAGCGGACTGAGGAAAAGGAGAGGTCAGCTTGGGAGGGCGAAATCTTGGATGTCCATGTGGTTGCCGCCCGAGCTGCTGCGCGCGCTGCATCGCTTCGGGAACGCAGAGGTCATCGCGGATCGCAGGGGGCTCGGCCAGGTCAGCCTCGAGCACATGCAATCCGTCGACGGGCAGATGGGCTGGGAAGCTAGTCCGATCGGTTTCTGGCAGGACGGCGCCCCTGTCAATTGGGGTCGCGCAGCGAGCCTCGAGATCTTCACAATTAGTATGCCACGTCAGTCGGGCGAGTGGAGGAACTTGCGTCTGCCTTTGACTGCCTTGTTGAAGCACCAGATCGGCGAGCACGCGATGGGCGACATCTGCGACGTCATCGCCTGGAGTTTCCGTTGGCCGGGCCTGGGGGGACATCCGCCATAGCGCCGTGACAACAAGGCGTGGCTGAGCAGTGACGCGCAGAGGGGGCGCGCGGTGGGGCAGGCGCCCCCTTGCAGGGCGGTGTTGGCGCAAATGCGCGGATATTGGAAAATGTTCAAAGAACTATTCAAACTACCCCGCTGGGACGAGAAGGCGGGCCGTTGTTGTCGGTGCTGGGTGAAACCAATGGAGATCGCAGATCAGGCGGGCCTCTCAGCGCCCTGGCGGCAACATCGGAAATCGTGGGGCGACGTCGTCGGCCTTGTGCAGCTGCTGCAGGGTGACCCCCCTGTCCCAGGCGCCGTTCGTGAGCTTGCGCGCCATCAGGATCGATTGGCCCCATGCCGCAGACATGGGTGTCCCGGCAGACTTCCAAGGGGGGGCGCTGCGGCACCTGCGGACGAAGGTGGCGGGCTCGACGGCGACGAAGAGGGTCGCTGAGCTGAGCGATAAGCTCCGCGAGTTCTACGAAGCGAATGACGTGAGGGACAGGCGGAGGTGCCCGGGCGCGCGCGTCATCAAGCGGGGCCAGAAAGCGCCCCAGCTGAAGATGCTGGGCGCCCTGCGCCGCGCGATGGCCCCGTTTGCCTTGGAGATGGCGCTGGAGCTTTGCGATCTTGGTGACCCGCTGGGCCAGGCCGTGCACTGCGGGATGCGCCGCCTCAACGACTGCTACAAGCCTCGCAGTGCCGCGCCCGTGAACGGACCGGGCACCCCGGCTGAGAACGCGCCCAAGTTCGTTCTCTTTTACGCGAGCCTGGCGAGGTTGAAGCCCGCGCACTGGCGAGCGAAGCCCAAACTGCGCGACTGGCTCGAGGCGGCCGCCGAAGGCGGCGAGCCCACAAGCGCCTGGTGTTATAGGGGCGAAGATTTCGGCGGGGGCGCCTCCAACACGGGGCGCAGCCGAGGCAGCGCGGTAACCGTTTCTGGCGCCAGCCGCGGAGTGACCCGCAAGTTCGGCATGCGGCCCATTATCCGAATGAGAAAGGGGTACAAACTTGTGCGACGTGGGAGGGTGGAGGGGTCCGGCGGTCAGCGGGCAGGGGAGACACGTGGGGGGTGGGGGGGGGCGGGCCAGGACTTGACATGCGTCCGCGCAGCCTCTCTGCCCGAAGCATCCGACGCGACTGGCCCCATGCTCGGCTGGCTGATCGGCATGGCGCCGAAGAGGCGCGGGCGGCGCCGCGGCCAGCGCCGCGGCCAGCGACGCTGCCAGCCCCGAGGGCGATCGCAAGCCGAAGGCGGCGAAGAGCCAAGCGAAGCCGCCACCTGCCGCGGCCGAGAGCCCGCCCGCGGCCGCGTCTCCCGCGTCGAAGGCCGACGAGGCCGCGGCGGAGGCCGACGCGGAGGGCCAGGCGGGGGCCGACGGGGAGGTCAAGCTCGAGGCAGGCAGCCCTCGCAAGCTTCAAGCGTGCCCCCAGAGGCGCCCGCGACCAGGTGGCGACGAACAAGATGCTGACTGGCTTGCGTCAGCTGAATGCTGGCAAAGACCCTGAGAAGGCGGCGGAGGCAGCGGCCGCGCTGGAGATGCACCACCAGCTGGGCTGGGAGGAGAAGGAGTCGGTGGTGGAACGCTGCAAGGGAAACAAGACCCGCGGCAGCATGAAGTGGATCGACGACTGGGTGGGGACGCGCAGCAAGGACGACGCCACTGCGGCCGGCTGGGGCGAGAATTGGCGCGGCCCTGGGCAGGTGCCGCAGCTTCTCGGTTTGAGCCTCAGTGACTTTGAACCCGCGAAGAAGCGCGGGCCTTCGCGACCGAGGAGGTGCGCCGCAACCAGGCGGCTTCAGGCGCGCTGGAGTCCCACCCGCCCAAGATCAACGAGTCGAACTGGCTGATGTCTCGGTGCTTCTGGGTGGTCGACCAGGGGGGGGCCAGGAAGGTGGCCCCGCCCCCGCCCCCTCGCGGGACCGCCGAGTGGCGCGAACTCTTAGGAAGGAGGGGGGAGGAGGGAACGAGGGAGGGGATATCGGAGGGCAGGATCGAGGGGCGGGAGCGGGGCCACCTTCCTGGGCACCTGCAGGACGTTCTCGGGCAAGCAAGCACACCACGCAATTGGAGAGCCGCGCCAACGACTGCGAGAAGGCAACCCAGAGCGGGCGGCTCGAATTCCCCCTGGGCGCGCGCGGGGGCGACGAGGTCAAGCAGGGGGGCGACGGCGCCGAAGCGCTCAGAGCCGCCAAGCACGCGGCCAAGGCCTTGAGGGCCTCCTGCAGGACGGTCGACAGGCCGCTGAAGAGCCTGACCGCTCTGGAAAGGCAGTTCCCTGCCAGGGCCAAGATCCACGATGGCCCCGACGTGGGCAAGTACGCAGATGCCTCCAAGGACCTTGACAAGGTTTGCGATGCGTTGAACGCCTACCAGGATGACGCCGAAGCGATCGCCACCCTCGTGGACGATCTCGCGAAGAATGGGATTACTGAGCTGGAAGCGGTGGAGGATAATAAGGAGAAAGCCATCGAAGACTTCGAGGAGGAAGCCGGGTTGCGCGCCAAGCAGCGCGACGAGTGGCGGATGGCGGGCGACGAGCACGCGAAGAACGCGGCGACGAAGGTCACCGAGATGCAGGGCAAGCCGACGAGGGACCCGTCAGTGTGGAGTTAAGCCGTGCCAGGAGGCAGGCGCCAGCGGCAAGCCATTTTCGACGCTGCCGCTGAGCCCGCCCTGCCTTTTTAGATGCTGCGGCGGGGCAAAAAAGAGACGGGGCCTGTCTCCTCCTCCTCCCCCCCATCTTACCCCTGCTCCTGCTCCTGCTCCTGCTCCGCCTGTTCCTCGCCCCCCCCGGCCCCCCCTGTCCTCTCGCGCGTGCCCAGCCCCCCCCCCCCCCCCCCCCCCCCCCCCCCGCTCTTTTCAGCGCCAGCTCCGATGGGCGGGTCGATCTTCCGGAGCAACTCGGGCAGGCCGAGTCGCCTATTATAGGGGGGCGAATTCGCTGCGGCGCGGAGGGGCGCGGGAACAAATTCCCGAAGCAAGGGGCTGTCATCTTTATCCAGACGCCTCCTCTGAAAGCGTTGCGGCTCACTGCCTGACGTTTGGCGGTCCACCTCGGCCATGAACAGCGCCCGCTCAGCCACCAGAGCACGGAGCTTGCCCCCGCCGTAGTGCTGGCGCACCTTGAAGGAGATCGCGCTCTCCATTGACAGCCAGCAACCACCGCGTATAGGGTGCCACCATCCGAGCTCGCCCTGCACCTACTCCGCCCCCGCCTCGGCGCCCGCGCCCTTGCGCGCGGAGCACCGCGTCTCGCAGGAGGCGGGCATGGCCAGCCCGAGAGCTTGCAGGCGCAGGCGCTGGCAGCAAGCTTAAAAAACAAATTGAGCCACAAAACAGCTACGGCTGGCGAAACTCCAGCGGGGGCCGCCGCAGACCGAGGGGGATGGAGGGGATGGCGCGCCGAGGGCCCCTTAACCGAGGAGCCCCCATCAGGCCCCCTTTGCAAAACATGTTTCGCTCGTGCACCTTTTCGTTCGCGACCCCCGTGCGCCCCCCACTGCCCCGCCACCCTACGCCGAAATAATTAGTTGCGCGGTGCTGGGCAGCCGGCCCATTCGCATTGTAGTGAACGTCAAAATGCAGGCACCAACGGCGCACGTCCTCAGCGCTACATTCGCAACCTCCGCGCGCACGCGGCGGGCAGGGGTCGGGCCAGGGGGGGGGGGGGGGAGGGGCAGGCGAGGGGCGCGGGCAAGGCGGATGGGGCGCCGACGAGGCTCCTTGGCCGAGGAGCCCCCGGCCGACGACGATGACGACGATCGACGACGACGAGATTGAGAGCGCTGCCCCGCCCAGGCGGCGGTGGCGTCCGTGCGCGCCACGCGCTGCAGCGCAAGCAATGAAAAACTTGACCCATGGATGCTGCTCGACAATGCACGGGGGCAGCTTCCGTCTTTTTCGCGATGCATCTTGGGCCGATGTCAGCGGCAATCTTTTTTTATATAAAAAATCATGTTGAATGCGGTTTCGACTTGTCTGCGACTCATGTTGGGCCGATGTTAAGAGCGGCTTGCGTGTTTTAGGACGGCTCCTCCACAGCGATGTTGAGTTTAGGGGCATCGATTTAGGTAAGAACATGTGCAGACAAAGAACCTATTTATTCAGATCCGAAGTCTGGAAATGGTTATTTAGATCGAAGGGGTCTAGCTACATCGGAAAAATTTATTTTAACAACCTGTCGAAATAGAGCGGAAAAGTGTTTCAAGGAACAACAACAACAACAACAACAACGCAACAACCGGAATCATCACCACGGACTCGCACTTCAGCCACGCACCCAGGGACAATGAATGACCGCTCGGCCCCCTCACTGTGGTACTTCCCCAATCAGAGCTTGCTTCTGTAGGGGTCTTAGCGGATTCGTATGGTTAGACTAGGTTTGTCGCCGATTTTCGCTGCGCGCCCGGGTGCCCGGGTGCCCGGGGGCGCCTGGGGCCCGGGTGCCCGGGGGAGGGCCGGGGGTGCCCGGGCGCCCGGGTGCCCGGGCGTACCCGGGGGTGCCCTTTAGCCCTGTAGCCCTATAGCCCTATAGCCTTACAGTTCCATAACACTATAGCCCAGTAGCCCTATAGCCCCCTTGCCCTATACCCCTGATGGGGCTTTTCTCCGGCACCATACATTTATAGTTCAGATTATGCATACATGTGCATACATGCAGGTAGGTAAACATACGGCCAGCACAAGGCTTAAGAACTTCGGTGGTTCGGGGAGGGTGCCCTTATGTTCTTCGTTTTTGTTCCATGTTCTTGTGCACCCTGGGGGAGGGTATCCTCGATGTTCTTCAGTTTGGCGCCATTGTTCCTTCGTTCTGACAAAGCTGGGATTCGGGGCTCACGATTCGGCTACGAGCGTCCGCGGCGGGGGCGGGACCCTCCATGTTCTTCGGCCCCGAAGTCACGCGTGAGACGTGGCGTGAGACGTGGCGCTGAGGCCCACTTCTAGAGCCCGACTAAGCTGGTCGCAGGCCTCGCGCGTCCGCGGCGCGGGCAAGACCCTCCATGTTCTTCGGTCTCGATGTCAACGTGCTGCCTCCAGCAACCGCGCGCTCGTGGATGACGACGGACCCGGACGCGCGGAGGCAGATCCAGGGCACAGGAACACAGCGTGGGTCTCGGGGGGCGGGGGGGGGGTCAGGGCTTCGGGGTTGCGTGGTCCAGGCTGTGCAGTCGAAGGCTTTAGGCTGGGGGCTGAGCCAGATGCGTACATCTCGGAAGGGCGTCCTCGACGTCCTTATGGTTTGGGGTACTTTGGCCCGCGGAGGGCCTCATGTTCTTGTCAGATGTTTTTGTGGCCTTGTTCCGGCCGTAAGTGTATATCATTTTGTATATATATGTGTATATATACACATATACATATATATAGATAGATAGATAGATAGATAGATAGATAGATAGATAGATAGATAGATGTGTGTGTGTGCGTTAGCCAGCGTGGGCCCCAAGCAGCGTGTTTCTAGCAACATACGTCGTATAATACCGGTTGTGCAATCAACGTGGTGCAACCTGTGCGGGCAATCCATGCTGTGCAGCACATGCTGTGCAATACATGTGGTGCAATGTATGTGGTGCAACCCACGTAGTGCAATATATGCGTGGTGCAGCCTACGTGGTGCAACTTGTGTTGCGCAATCTATGTGGCGCAACCAGTGTTGTTCACTCGACGTTGTTCATCTTATGTGGTGCAGTTCGTGTGCGACAATCTACGCAGTGCAGTCTGCGTTGTGCAATCAACGGGCGGCGACGGAACGGGGACGGCGAGCACGGAGCCGCCAAACCGGCCGCCAGGCCCAGACGACGGGCGGCGACGAGGCGGCGCCGGGGCGGCGACGGCGGCCACGTGGCCGCCAGACCGACCGTCAGGCTCGGTTCATTAGCAGCGGAGTAAGAAGCCCAAGAAGAAGTGCAAACATTGTTTTGTGTGTACACATCTGTGTTTATATATATATATATATAGGAAGAGCGAGAGAGAGAGAGAGAAATAAGAACGAAGAGAGAGAGAGAGAGAGAGAGAGAGGGAGAGAGAGAGAGAGAGAGAGAGCGAGAGAGAGATGTGTGTATACATTTATACACAGAAGCAACAAGCGCGCTCCAGGGGCTGTGGCTGCCGCGGTGGATGAGGGGGCGAGGTGCCGCGGAGGAGGCGCGCGCGCGCGCGGCCGCAAAACAGCCCGCCCAGCTCCCTTTGTGGCGGCCCGCCGTGGCGGACGCCATCGGAGGCCCTGGGAGGCCATCGGAAGCTCTCGAAGGCACGCCAGGGGCCTTCAGGGGCCCCCTCCAGAGACCGTCGGAGGCGGCCAGGGGGAGGGCCAGAGGCCCTCCGAGGGCCTGCAGGCCTTCGGACCCTCTCGGAGGCCCCTTGGAGGCAATCGCAGGGTCTGGGACGCCCTTCGGGTTCCCTCGGAGGCCTTCGGCGGCGCATGCGGAGGCTCTCAGAGGACTTTGGGGGTCGGTTCGGGGGTTGCCAAAAGTGTCCCTGGCCCAAGGTGCCCCCAGTTTTTCGCTCCTTGTGGGGTCCCTGGGGCCCTCTGGGCCTCGCGAGGGGTTCTCTGGAGGCTGCGGGGGCCTCCTGAGAAATCCTGGGGGCACCTTGGGCCAGAGGCGGTTTGCCTACGGGAAGGTCTGGGCGGGATTCTCTCCTCCTGGCCCCCCGTTGTTTTTCTTTTCCTCCACCCCGCACGCCCAGGACAGGCCGGACAGTTGGGGGCGGTGTGCAGGCTGCCCCTTGGCCCTTGGGAGAGCGCAAGCCGCATGCAGATGTTCCTGACTCAGAATCGCGCTCCAGCAGATACCTGGGGTGGGCAAGCGGAAGAGGAGGAGGACGGAAGGAGGACGGGGAGAAACCTCACTCTCGCCCCAGGGACGGCCACGGTCGAAAACACGGTCTCGTTCCGCATTGTTGGCCTCACCCGGGATCCTGAGCCTTGCTCTCATTCTGTATTTTGGCCACAGTCTTCATGAGTCAAGAGCCGCGCGTTCGTGACCATTTTGGCTTAAGCCATTTTAGTTAAAGAGCGGCTTGCGCGGGCTGCAATAGGACTAGTGACTAGCACGGTGCTTGCAGCTTCTCTCGGGTGATGCTTCGTTTCGGAGGGGTGATCCTGATTCGACATGTTGCCCCCCCCCCCGGCTTTAGGGGAGCATGTGCTCGTCATGCCTGGAGGATTTTCTTATCTCAGCGTCGAGATATACACAGCGACGGGTTTGCAAGCGACGCTTCATCCAGCGAGGACGTCGTGTTTGACATCCGTTACATTTCGTGTCAGTTGGGCGTAAGCGCACGGAAAGTCAAGCAGGCAATTCAGGAGCTTCATTCGGAAGGTATGCGTTGCTACGCGGAGGAAGATGAAATTCCCAAAAGCGATGCGCAAATCATCGCAGAGTTTGGGTTCGGCAAGGCTTTGCCTTTGACGTGCAAAAGCAGGTCAACTACCACTACGCCGCTGGAGACATCGGAGGCATTGGATCAACCGACAGAGACGATGGCTCCGAAAACTACAGCGCTGCAAGAGCTTGAGGAGGTCTTGGGGCAAGGTCTGGCGGCCAGACACAGCGACGTGCAGAAGCTGATTCGAGAGCTCAAAAAGCCAGCGCTTGGGTTCGACGTTGAGATCGGCAAAGGAGGGGCTCACGTCATTGTGGCATCAAACGGCAGTTCATTCCCCCTCCATACTCGTATCAGCAAGGGCTCTCTGACACGCAAGACGAATAGTGTTGTTGATGTCAAGGCTCTATTGTGCTTCGTCGGTGCGAACCAGGATCCAGGCAAAGCCCGCTGCAGGCGTTGCTTCAAGTGGTTTGATACATACGCCGAAGAGCCAGGCAAGACAGACGAGCATTGTTTGGGCTATTGCGCTAGGGCCCAACACGCATCTGCTGACAGTTGATGTCGCACTCTCAAGTATGCAAGTTTCCCGCCAGTGCGCTTGTTTACATACATCGCTGATGGCGCGCAGAAGGCCACGTCAACCCGACTCAGTGCAGCATGATCGATGGTCTGGCTCATCGCTGAGCATGGCTTCGTCCGCAAGCTGCAGCTGTTTTCAAACAGTTTAAATCAACATGCATTGTAGATATGAGCTTGCATAGCTTCTTGACGTACCAGCAGCGTAAAACAACGCGTCGCACAACAAAACACATGATCCAAGAGCCTCGCGCGCGCGCCACATTCGTGATTCAGGATCGTGCTCTCGCTTGTGAGCCTGCTGCATCCATTATCCTCATTGGTCATGCTGCTCCAGCCCCAGCCATGCACCCAAGCAGGAATTTGTACCCTCGCCTTCGCCCAGCCACGCTCCGTTCGGATCCGTGCCCTCGCTCATGGCTGTAGCGCGAGCCATACTCTGAACCAGAACCATGCCCTCGTTTTATCGGCGCCTCGCCCCAGAACTAGCCATTGGGCTCAGGAACCTTGGACCTCTTGCGAAACTTCGGCAGCTCGGGATCACAGGCATGAGGAAGTGCTTACCATCCGCCCCCGCAGGTCTCTCAGAGGATGTTGGCTTCCCCTTAGCCCGAGCCGCTGGACTCTCCCCCGTGCGTGGGCGCTTTTCAGACGGAGATGTGGGATTCAGATTGCGGCCGCTGGCAGGCGTCTCTCATGTCCTGGTTCCTGTAATGTGGGCGCGGCGGCAGTCCCCAGCGCGGGCTTCCAAGATGGAACGCCGCCAGCGGCCTGGAGTCGGCCGACGTTTCACGCTCCTGCGCCATCGGGACAGCGCGGGCGCTCGAGGTCGAACGGTGCACGCGGTGTCGAAAACCAGCGACACGAACTTGCCGTGCGTCCCCGCAGTTGCGGATACGAGCCGCGGGAAGCGGGACGCGCGCGGGGTCCGTCGGCGCGTCGCGCAGCGGGGCGTCGGGCACATCGTACAGCGGGCCGCGGCGAACGCCGGCTGTGCATAGCGCGGGGCGCGGGCGGGTTTGCGGAGCGGGTCACGAGGCAGGTTTGGGGCGGTTCGCTGGCGCGTCGAGGCGGGTCGCGAGACGACGATGGCAACGACGACGACGACGAGATTTCGCACCACGGAGCTTGTTCATAAACCGCCCAGCTTTCTCATTCTGACCATGGGCTCAGAAGGGAGAGGAAGGAGGGAGAGGAACGAGGGTCCGTTAGTCTTCTAGCTCGAGCAGGGGACACTCCCTGGCCGCGCCACTGCCTTGGCCATGGCGCTGGCGTCAGCCGTGTCTGCACTGCCGCGCCGGCGCGCGCTGGTTGCCGAGAGCGCGAGCCGGCGCGCGAAACTGGCGAGCGCGGAGCGGGGCAGACGCAAAGAGAGGCTGCTGGCGGAGCAGTACCAGGCCGAGCTCGAGGCCGAGGTCGCAGGCCTGAGGGTCCTGGTCCGGGAGCTGCTGGCCGCCGAGCCCGTGCCGGCCGGCCTGGTCGACCTGCCAGCCCTGGGAGGTTCGCCAGCAGAGGCCCGCAAGCCTGCAGCGGGGGACAGGCCACCAGCGCTTCTGGAAGCGCAGCCGAAGGAGTACCGCCCGCGCGAGCCCCAGCCGTCTGCGCCCCCTCCGCTGCCGCCGCCCGCGCGGCAGGAGGAGCCCTCCTGGGGTGAACAGCGCTCCGCCGCCCGGAGGCTCACCGCGGCGGCCGAGGAGCGCGTCGCTGCACCCGCGGTGCTGGAGGTCTGCGTCAGCACGCCCAGCGCCAGGCAAGGGCTGGGCCACGCGAGGGCGGCCTCAGAGCCCGCGGGGAGCCGCTGGCGTGGCAGGCGGGCAGCCGCCGCGAGGTGGCCCTCCCAGCACGCCAGGACGCTGGCGATGGCCCAGGATGCTGGCGCTGGCGCCAGGGCTCTCTGGGAGGGCCTCGAGACGTCGGCGCTGGCAAGAAGGACCGGCCCGCTGGCGGAGGCTTGTTCCCCGAGCGGCGCGGCGGCCGCCGATCCCCCGGAGGTGTCCCCCCTTCTGGCGGCCCGCCACGTGAAGGGCTCGGAGCGTCGTCTGCTCGAGCGAGAGGAATGGAAGGCCCCCGTGTGCGACGAGACGCCCAATACAGACGGCGCGGGGAGCGCCAGCGAGGACCGCGGGCCTGCCCATCAGCTTCCTATTGCGAGCCGCACGTATGGCTGCCCAGCGCCCTCGCCTCTCGACGCTGGAGCTGGCGACTGCGCGTGCGCGGCCGGGGGCCTCAGTTCGCGGTCCGAGGCCCGCTCGCCTGCCCCAGAGGGCGCCGCTGGCGGGTCGCCCCTGGCCGCTCCCAGCCCCTCGCCGCGGAGGGCAAGGACACCGACGGGGCAGCTGTCGCGCCGCGAGGCGGTCGCTCGTCGAGCGTCGTTCTCGGTCGACGAGCTGATCCCCTCGCGGGCGTCATTCACGATCGACGAGCTCACGCCCCTCCGGTCTCGGTCGCTCCGCAGCGCCAGCGACGATCGCTCCGCCTGCAGGGCTCTGCTGCCGCCGTCGCCGCAGGCGCCTGCCCTGCTGCCGCTGGTCGAGGCCTTCTTCGCTGTCACGGCAGACCACCCTGGCGCGCGGTCTTCGGTTGTGTGGCCTGACACGATCGCGGGGAGCTGCCTGGAGGAGACAGTGGTGAAGAGGGGGTTCTGCCCGGGCCCCGCCGCCTTCGCCCGCGACTTCCAAGGCAGGCCGTTCGTCTTCTCCCTGCTCGAGACGACGCTCGATCCGAGCGGAAACCCAGACGGGGTGTTGTACGGCTGCGTTTGCGGAGAGGATCCCACGGCTGAGGCCGACCCTGGCTCCGTGGAGCCCGAGCCTGGGGCCGGTAGCAACCACTCGATGGTGTCACGGATGCTGAAGACGCTGAAGCCGGGCAGGAGCCAGCGACAGCCCCAGCAGCAGCCTCAGCAGCGGTGGCGGGTGCTGTGCATCGTGTCCAAGCTGCCCATCTTCAAGCTGCTCTTTGGCCTGCTCCAGCACGCCCGCGACCTGCTCTGGGCCCACCCGGGCCGCGTGAGTGCCTTGCTCGATCGGCTGAACCGGGCGGCCCTGGGCGGGCGGCTCGCCGAGGAGGCTGGCGTGCTGGGCCTGCCGTGGATCATGAGCAGGTTGCCGCCCGGCGCCCCGTGCCGCGTGAGCCGCAGCATCCAGCCCCGCCCGGAGCAGGTGGCCCGCTGGCAGGCCTCCTGGGGCCTCCAGGCGCTCTGCAGCCGCGGGCGCTGCGCCGTGGGCCCCGGCAGCCTGGCGCAGCTCCTGGCCTGCCTGCTGCTCGAGCAGAGGGTGCTGCTGCTCGGGTGCGCGCCGGAGACCTCGGCGCTCGCGCTGGCGCTGCGGGCGCTCCTCTGGCCTTTCCAGTGGATGCATCCCTTCCTGTCGGCCTCCCCCGCGGGGGGCCTGGACATCCCGCTCGCGGACTCGCCGTTCCCCGTGCTCGCGGCGCTCAGCTACACGGCAGACCTGGGCTACGCCTCGCTGGACCAGGTGCCCGCCGGTGTCGTGACATATTCCATGGAGACGGACCGCGTCACGCCAAACTGGATCCGGCTCCCGAGCGGCGGCCACGACGAGCTGGCCGGCCACGACGTCTTGGTGCGGCGGCTGGAGCAGGTGCGGGCGAGGTCGGCCCAGGCAGCAGGCGACCGAGCCGCGTGGGCGGCGGAGGCCACCCGCAGCGCCGTGTCGGGCGAGGTGCACGGGCTGGCAGGCATGGTGGAGAGGTTCGCCGAGCACATGGTCGCCAAGGCGCGCCGGGACAGCCCAGGAGCGAACCTGCAGGAACTCATCGACGCCGCCCTCGAGCGCGGTGTGTTCTCGCGCTGGCTGCAGTCGTCGGGGCGCACCGGCGCCGCGGGCAGCTTCTACGACGCCCTGGCCGACACGCAGCTGGGCAGGCTGCACTTGGAGGAGAAGATCGCCGAGATGTTCTCCACTGGGAGCTCCTGCGCTGCGTGAGTTTGGGCGGCCACCATAAGAACCCACCAATACCAAAAGCCACCGGGAACAGCATTGCTTGACCTCTCGGAATACTGGCGGCACCTCATACAACGAAAGGCCACACTTTTAGTATTGGTGGGCCACTGGCCCCTCGCTAGAATTCAGTTTAACGTCCAGGGCCAGTGGAGACGTCGGAGTCCGTCACCGGGCCATCGGATCTTCTGGCACGGAATTTGCTCCCTCGGGCCTCTGGCGGAGCCCGCTCACAGTCGGCATCGGCAGGGGGGGGGGACACTGCCGCGAGAGGTGCGGGGCAGAGGATCGGGTGTCGCTAGGCAGGTGGCTTTTCCTCAGAATGCGGTGGGGCCTCTTGGAAGCCCTCCCGCCGTCTTCGACTTCAGGAGCTCCAAGACAGAGTTGCGGGACCGCGGAGGAGGAGGAGGAGGAGGAGGAGGAGGAGGAGGAGGAGCAGCAGGAGGAGGAGGAGGAGGATGAGGAGATGTGTTTCCCTATTCGTGCCTGAAATCCAGCTGCAAGGTTGGACATGCGAACCGAAAACCTGATCATCAGACTTATGAGCGGGGGTCGACATTCAGTCCTCAGATCGCGAGAAGGAGGAGGCGAAGGAGGAGGAGGAAGAGGAGGAGGAGAAGGAGAAGGAGAAGGAGAAGGAGGGAAGCTTCGTCGGACGACTAAGTATGCAACCATCAGGTGTCAGGTGCCAGGTGTCAGGAGAGAGGAGGAGGAGGAGGAGGAGGAGGAGGAGGAGGAGGAGGAGGAGGAGCAGGAGGAGCAGGAGGAGCAGGAGGAGGAGGAGGAGGGGAAGGAGAAGGACGACGACGACGACGACGAGGAGGAGGAGGAGCAGGAGGAGGAGGAGGAGGAGGAGGAGGTGTGCTTCCTTATTCGTGTCTGAAATTCAGCTGTAAGGCAGAATGGCGAGCACAACACCAGATTATCAGACTTCTGAGCGGGGGGGTGACATTCAGTCCTCAGGTCGCGAGATGGAGGGGGAGGCGGAGAAGAAGGATGATGATGAGGAGGAGGAGTGAGTGAGTGAGAACAGTCGCGATGCGATTCGAAACGAACTACGAGCGCTTGTGAGCGAGCACCTCGGCCTTGCTTAAAGCCTTGGGCCATCGATCAGATTCGATCCGATGTATGTACTCGGCTCGATTCGCATTCGTTCGCCTGGGACATTCTTGACCCAGGCTCCTCAGGACACAACTGGCAGAATGCCCGCACTGTCAGCAAACTTAAAGCCCCAAGGATTAGTGCAGAAGCATTCTTTGACTACCGTGTACGTAATGAAACCCCTGACGGCAACACAGAGAACTTACCGTCAACAGGAGCGGGTCTGAGACATTGGGAGGAAATCCACTGGGCTTTGGCAGCCTTGGAACAGGAGCCACAGCAAATCTTACGACGCTGGCCAGATTCATCGAGAGCATGATTGGTGGCAAACTGCCTGCACACGGAAGGCGCGGGGGGCGGCGGCGGCTCACACGGTTCCTCTCTTTCTCCCAGCGGTCCTTCTTTTTGCAACCGTTCGCTCTCGGACTACAGAGCATCAAGTGTAGCTCTGATCAATACCAACTTCATCCGGCACACCTGTTTCTCGAGCCCGTGTACACGATATCTCTCGGTCCCGGCCAGCCTGACACGACGGGCCGCCCCTGCCGCCAGTTCATCAACTGCCGCATTGCCACCACTCAATTGCCACGGCGAAATTCCTCGTACCAGATGTGTCGGCGACAAATGTGACCTTACGAACAACACCACACACTCAGCCTGACTGCGATCAGCCAGAGCCTCTCCGATCTTGTGCCACGGATCGGCGTCCTCGCCACAAGGGGAGGCGTACTTGCGCGAGTACCAGCCGTCTGCAACTCCGCTGTTGCCCGCGACGAAGTGTACGTACCCTCTGGACATCTTGACGGCGACGGGCAGTGCATGCAGCTCTCCCCTGGGGACGCTCTGCCGCGCCCCTGGGATACCCCCAGACACCGTCCCGTCGAGGACCAGGGGGTCGAAGCTGCTCGCGGTGATGAACGCCAGGCCCACGCGCCTGACCTTGCTGTCGGCCGAGTCGGCACCGCCACTGGCGTCCGCGAAACGCCACAGCAGCCTCTGCTCGGCCCCGTGCCCGAACGGGAGGCCCTCGAGACTACCTGCCGCTGCGCCCGATACGTGCCATTCGTCATGCTCCCGTGGTGGAGTCGCCTCGGTCCACCTGGCTGACAGCAACCCCCGCAACCAGTAGCACCGCTCACTGTCGTGTCTGCTGTAGGCTTGCGGGAGCAACTCCTGCGAACCATCACACGTTGGCGATCCCATGTTGTTGGAGCAGCGCCAGCCCCGATGGAACATGGTCTCGGCCTCCTGCCCACACCTCGGGCGAAGGCGTGACAGGCCCAACGCCTTGGCCCCTGCTGCGTCCACTCGCCGATCTCTCGGCCAGCTGCCGTCAGTGGCCACCATGCTGAGCACCTCCGCCATGCGGTGGTCTTGCAGGATGTTGGAGAATTGTTGATAGAGCTTGCGCAGCGACGCCATGTCCACGCCATGCTCGACCCCCAAACCGCAACAGTGCTCACACGCCGTCTTCCATAACTTGGCCGACATAAAACTTCCCAACTAGTTCACCAGCCCCGTCGGCGCGTCGACGCTCACGAAGCCTGTCCACGCCGTGTCGGGGAACTGCCACTCGATGACCTCCCCCGACTCCGTGGGCGGCAGGCCCAGCAGATGGCTGATTGCGGATCCTAGCCGTTGTCAAGCAGGAGCGCCACCATCGCCGACAGCGGTCCGCGAATGTGGCGTGAGCGATGGTTCGGCTCAACCCGCCGCAGGTGAGCGACCACCGCGTCCCACGCCGCATGCACCCCCGCTCTCAGCAACGGCTGCTGCTGCCACATGCGGAACCACAGCCTCACACACTTCTCGGGCATGCGCAGCGCGGGATCCGCAGGGGTCTTCAGGCCGATGAGCGTGGTGAGACATGTGCCCTTGGCCGTCGCCCCCGCTGCAGCTCCCAACCTGTGCCGATTGGTGGTGAGGTACGTGCCGAAGACCTCGTGGACCTGGTAGGCGTAGGACCCAGCAGCCTGCGCTCCGAGTTTCTCCAGCTTGAACGTGATGTGATGCCGTCGTCCTGCCGCCTTGTACCTCCGAATCTTATCGTGTCTACTGTACTTCTGGAAGCGTGTCCTGTGCGTGGCCCTCGCATGCACACTCACATTGCCAAGGCCCCGTTCCTAAATATGCAGCTGCCATCTGAGCCTTTACCGATAAGCCTGCTCGCCTCAAGGCCCTCGACACTTGAACTGCGTCTTTGGGAACCGAACACATCACAACATTATTTTGCGCCACGCGGAGATGCAATCTAGCGAGGCCCCGACAAGTATCTCTGAGACTCTAAATGAGGTCACTCACACCTGAGCTTTGGACCCAAGAACCCTCTGACGAGGAGGAGGAGGAGATGTAGGTGGAGATGGAGGAGGAGGTGGAGGAGGAGGGAAGCTTCGTCGGACGACTATGCAGCCATCAGGTGTCAGATGTCAGTAGAGGAGGAGGAGGAGGAGGAGGAGGAGGAGGAGGAGGAGGAGGAGGAGGAGGAAGAAGAGGATGAGGAAGAAGAGAAGGAGGAAGAGAAGGAGGAGGAGGCGGAGGAGGAGGAGGAGGAGGACGAGGAGGAGGAGGAGGAGGAGGAGGAGGAGGCGGGTGAGGCGTCCCTCCTGCGCTGAGGGGAGAGGCTGGGCAGGGGCTCGAAGGTCGAGCTCGCAGGCCGAGCTCGTGGGGGCGCAGCCCTGCTGCGCAGCGCACGGAACCTGGCCGCCGACGCGCGGCGGCAGGAAGCCCATCGCGACCGTGGAGCTCCTGCGCCGCTCCTCATATTTTTTGTTTCGGATAGGGGACGGACTACAAAATGGCTTCACTCCAGGGATGGATTGTCCCGTCGAGTTTTTATTACATATTCATAGAATGCCCAGTGGATCTAAGGAGCGTTCGACGTATTTTCCGTTCACCCGACGGAGAAATCAATTTCGGGGTAAATCCATTCTGCAGTCGATCATCTACTCGAGTTTTTTGTTGTCGTTGTGGGGCATCATGTCGCAAGTGTGCACATGCCCACGCACCGCCTGTCGCATGGCGCGTCTGCCCGTTTGCCCGTCACACTCGGTCTGCCAGGCGATTTTGTGCGCCATCGGGGGCCCAGCCCGCCACGGCTTGTCAGCAAACCGCTTCGCTTCGCTTCGCTCCTGTGGGGTTGGGCTCCCCGGTCTCTCCCGAGAGCCCGCGCGAGGCGGACCCGTGCCAGGGCACATTGCGTGGCAGGGCCGAGCTCGCTCGCCCGGCGCGGGGTGCCTGGAGCTGGGGGGGCCCAGTGCATCCCTGGGCTCCGCGTGCCCCGTGCAGGGCGCCCTGCGCGGCAGGGCCGCAGAATTTGCCCGCCCACCTCCGCGAGGTGCAGCTCAGCTGGCGCCGGCGAGCTCCAGCACTCGCCGCTGGCTCCTCCGCCTCTTCTTCGTCCTCTTCCTCCTCCTCGTCGCTCCTTCCTACTTCCTGCAGCTCCCTCCTCCGCCCTCCTCCGCCTTAGGGCTGAATTCGCTCGCCCGCTCCGCGAGGTGCGGCTCGGTCAGAGCCTGCATGCTCCAGCGCTCGCCGCTGGCCCCTCCCCCTCCTCCTTTCCTGCCCTCCGCCATTCTCTTATTCCTCCTCTTCCTCCTCCTCCTCCTCCTCCTCCTCCTCCTCCTCCTCCTCCTCCTCCTCCTCCTCCTCCTCCCCTTCCTCCTGCTCTTCCTCCCTTCCCCTCCTCCTGCTCCTCCTCCTCCTGCCTCCTCCTCCTCCTCCTCCCTCCTCCTCCTCCTCCTCCTCCTCCTCCTCCTCCTCCTCCTCCTCCTCCTCCTCCTCCTCCCTCCTCCTCCTCCTCCTCCCCTCCCCTCCTCCTCCTCCTCCTCCTCCTCCTCCTCCTCCTCCTCCTCCTCCTCCTGCTCCTCCTCCTCCCCTCCCTCCCTTTCCCTGGCTACGCCCCCGCTTCACAAGTTTGCGTGTCGCGCGCATCCTCGGCAGGGGTGACTCCACTTTGGGAGGGAGGACAGAGGATTAATTAGTTTTTCGTTGGGCATCGCTCTATCGGAGGGGAGGGGGGGGGTGCACCCCTTGCCCCCCTCCCCCGTGTTGCGTGCCGGGGGGGGGGCACCTCCCTCCCCCCCTTTCATGTGCGGGGGGGGAAGAGACCAGCCAGGGGGGGGGTGGAGGGGGTGTGCACCTCCTCCCCCCCCTTTTCATGTGCGCGGGGGGGGCTCCCCCTTGTCGCCCACCCCCCCCCCGGCGTCGTTTTCGTTGAGTATCACAGTGTCGCTCTAGCGAAGGTTGGAGGGGCTCGACGGTTGAATGGGAGGGTTATAGGGTGAATCTGCAGAGGAAGAAATGTATCAAATTAGCTCGCCTGCCATGGAGGACGCCTGTCCCAGGGCGGCTGGCAAATTTGGACCCTGATGTGCCACTGTATCAGTTACGTAGCGGTGTAAGCGTTACCGCTGACCTGGGACACGAGCCCCGGACAGCGGCACAGATCCAGCTGCCGACGGCAAGTCGCGCCAACTCGTGGGAGGCCTCTCGGGGCCTCTTGGAGGCAGTTTGAAGAATCTCGGGGGCCGTTTTGGGACCACTTGGGGCCTCTTTGGGGTCTCTTGGGGGCCTCTTGAAGCCTCTTGGGGGCTTCTTGGGGGCCTCTTGGGGGCCTCTTGGGGCGGAAAGGCTGGGATTTTCTGTTCATGTTCCCTCTCTTGGGTCCCTTTTGGGGCCGTCTTGGGGCCCTCTTGGGCTGTCTTGGGCGCCTCTTTGGGCCATCTTGTGGCCCTCGTAGGCCGTTTTGGGGCCCTCTTGGAGACCTCCTGGGTCGTTTTGAGTTGGTCTTGGGGGCCTGTTGAGCAGTCTTGGAACGGCGGGTTTCTGGAAAAGGCGAGAACGCCAAAATCGCTCAAAAACCTAACGGGCAAATCAATGATTTTTGCCTCTTGGGCCTCGCCTGCATCCTCTTGTATGCCTCTTGGACCGTCTTTGAGGGTCATGGGCCATCTGGAGGCCATCTTGGGCGTCGTCGAGCGATCGTTCGGCGACTCGGGGCCCTTTTGGACCGTCTTGGGGGCCTTTAGGGCCGTCATGGAAGCCCTGGAGAGCCCATGGAGGCGCCATGGCCGCTCAGGGACCTCCCCAGAGTAGGGGCGATTCAGTCGGGTGGGTGTGACCGGGAGGATGGGGTGGGTCCTCAGAAGACTACAGAAACTACAGAAATCCTGCGAGGCAGCGCTTGGCATTCCTCCACGCCTCAACGTGCCGCAGGCACGGTGGCGGATTATGTCACACCGGCTTCCGTCCGCCAAATCGTTGTCCTTCAGCTACCCTCGCTGCCTTCCCCGTCATTCACGCTGCCATCCTCGACATCCGCCGCCTTGTCGTCGCCGTCATCCTTTTGTCTCTTGTCCACCTACGAGCCCCATGGACAAAATTGGCGCTTCCCGTTCTTGTCTGATCAGGTTGTATATGTTATACCGCTCTCAGTCCGCTCAAGCACGGACCCTGAGATCCGACGCCTCAGACAGCTTGAAACGCTGTGAAGAATCGCGCCCGAACCCTAGACCCCATCCTTCTGCGTCATTTTCCGAGGCGGATCGATCTGTGAGTGTCCCGGGGCCCGAGAAAGAGCGAGAACACTTGGGTCAAAAAAATTAGACGCCAGGATCTCAGGGGAAGAGCACCCTGGAACACCAGGGCGGAGTCCGCCGGCGGGCGCTGCTCACCACGACCTCGCCGCGGCCGTTTGCCTGCCCCGCTGGCCGGCGGGCAAGAGCCCACCACGCCGCGGCGCCCCTCCGTGCCAGCAGGCGTCGCTCGAACGATAGCGGCGCTCCGCCGCACGGCGTGCCCCCCAGGGCTCGCCCGACTGCGCGCCCTCCTGCAGCCGAGCAATAGCCCCGAGATCCTGGCGTCTAAGTGTTGTTCGAGCCTGGCGTTTGCGCTCTTTCTCGGGCCCCGGGACCCTCACAAATGGATCCGCCTTGGAAAATGACGCAAAAGGACGGGGTCCAGGGTTCCGGGCGCGATTTTTCTTGCCGTCATGATTTTTCGGGGTCGTCGGATCTCAGTGCCCCTCGCCTGAGACTAGATTGCCCGTAGGAAGGATCCGGGGCGGCTCCTGTTCAAGATGGTGCTCTCGCCTGAATGGCAGGCCCCAGGGCTGCTGGTGTGCCCAGGGGGGGTGGCTCTTCTTGTGGTGAACGTGCAGGCGTGTGGGGACTCGTGAGGAGGGGACTTGGGGACGAGAGGGTATCTCAGGCAGCATCGTTGGTGTATCGCGTGCTTACGCTCTTCCCTCCTCCCTTCTGCTCCTCCCCCCCATCCCTCCTGCCTCCTGCCTCCTTCCTCCCTCCCTCCCTCACTCCCGCCCCTTTAGCCACTGCGTGGATATCATCGAATCCCAGCGAACCCCTCTTTCATCCTCCTTCGTCTTTCCCCTTCCGCTCCTTTCTCCTCCCTCGTCCCCCCATTGCCTCCTCTTCCTCCTTCATTCTCCCTCCTCCCTCCCTGACTACCTCCTTCCACTTCGGATCCGACGCTGCAAACAAAAATACAGCATGGTGAAAAATTACGGCCTCAGCCCTGGACCCCGTCTTTCTGCGCCATGTTCCGGGCCGGACCGATCCGTGGAGGCCTCGGGGCCCGAGAAATTGCGGAATCGCCCGTCGCGGCAGCATTGCAGCGCCCGGATCTCAGGGCCCCTTACCGTCTCAGCGGCACCGTAACGGGTACTCACTAACGTGGACAGTTGCCGAAAGTTGCCACTTCAGGGCCTTTTTTCTGGCATTGCAGCGTTGTCCACATCGGGTGGGAGTGGGTTCGCCGGGTCACTGGCCAAAGTACCCGTTAGTGCAGTCCCCATACGTCGATTCAGGAATTTGCCGTTTTCGGCTCGCGAGAGGGCGTCGCGGCCGTCATTTTTGCGGGTCCAGGTCCGTCGGTTTCGGTCCCAGGCCGTTTTTCATTAAGGGGAGGTTTACTAAAAGGAGGTTTGTCCACCGCCGACATTAGGAAGGCGCGCTGGCAGTCAAGACGCTGAAACGAGGACCCATCTGATCTCGCGAGGGGTTCGGGTCTTCGGGCCGTCTCGCAGAATTCCGTCGTTGAGCCTCGTCCTGGCTTGGGTCCGCCGTGGCCAGACACGGCCCATTCTGTCCTTTGGCACAAGACGATGGCTGCACCCTCCTCCCGCTCCTACGTCGGGCGTGTCCTTGTACAGGAGGAATATCCAAAACTAGTCGAAACATAGTCTGGCGACGAGTTCTCACCATGTTCAAGCATGTTTGGAGCAGTTGCTGACCATGTTTATGTCTTCGTCCAGCATCCCCTTGTATAGGGGGACAGGCCCGACCTAATCCTACTCCTCCCCGCTCCTCCCCTCTGGGCCTCTGGCAGCCCGGCGAGGCCCCGACGACGGCCGCGCGGCACCGCGCGGCCGACGCCGTCCTGGCGGCCCCGGGGCGCGCCGACGGCGCCGCGCTGGAGGAGGCCGCCCTGCAGGCCCGCGGGGCTCGGCGCGGCCCCCCGCGGCACCCCACGCCGGAGCGGTGGGCGCCGCCCGGCCCGGCGGTGGCCGGGACCCGCGCCGCCCCCGCGGCGCCGCGGCCTCCTCCTCCTCCTCCTCCTCCTCCTCCTCCTACTCCTCCTCCTCCTCCTCCTCCTACTCCTCCTCCTCGTCGTCCTCATCCCTCGCCTCGTCGCCGGCGCGGTCGCGGGCTCTCCCCGGCGAGCGGGCACGGGTCAGGCGTCGGCCGTCGGCGAGGAGGGGGCCCCGAGACCAGGGCGTTGCAACTTTCTCGCGCCCGGCGTTTTCGTAAAATTTGGGCCCCCGGGGCCCCCACGGCTCGGCGCGGCTTGAAAAAGTGGTGGGGGGAAGATGGGGCCCATGGCTGGCTCGAGGGCGCTTCACGGTGCACCCACAGCTGAAGCCGAAGCCAAAGCTGGAAAAACGAAAAAGGCCCATCCTGCAGGAATGATTGACAGCACATCGTTGTGCGGTGTCGCAGCTTCCCCTGAGCGCAGGCTCCCCCCAGAGCGTCAGCCAGACAAACCGAGTTTGCACCTTTAAGCCTTGCTGAACTTTGGCCGCGTTTCGGCACTGTCACTGCTGCCGCCCCTCGTCAGGGCCAACCCCTCGTCAGGGCAGCGAGGGGGAGGGGAGGGGGTGGGGGGGAGGGGAAGGTGAGGGAACGGAGGGGCGGGGGGGCGGGGGAAGGGTTGAGGAGGGGGGAGGGGAGGGGAGGGGCTTCGAGGTTCGAGGGGTGGGGGGGGGGAGGGGGGCGGAGGGAACGAAGGGGAGGGGGGCTGGGAGGGAACAGGGAGGGAACGGGGAGGGAAGGGGGTGGGGGAGGGGGGGGAGGTGGGGAGCTGTTGGCCGCCTCGTCGGGCGCATAAGCCTTGAGCGGGCAGGCTGCTGGCCACCCCTCGCGCGCTGCTCTCGGGCGCGCCTCGCCGTCCTCGGGACGCCCTCGCGCCGAGGGAAACTTCAGCGCACCGATGATACTTGCACGCATCACAGGGCGTCAGCGAGGGAGGCGAGGGAGGGAAACGAGACAGGGAGAGAGAGATTTAGAGAGAGAGAGAGAGAAGGAGAGGAGGGCGGCGAGAGGCGAGGCAGAACGAGAAAGAGAGAGAGAGAGAGAGCGAAAGAGAAAGCGAGAGAGAGAGAGAGAGAGAGACAGACAGACAGGCAGACGGACAGACGGACAGGCAGGCAGAGGGACAGGCAGATGGACAGACAGCCAGACAACCAGACAGACAGACAGAGACAGACAGAAGGACGGACGGACGGACGGACATACAAGCAGACAGACGGACAGACGGACAGGCAGACAGGCAGGCAGACAGACACAGGCAAGCAGGCTGGCAGACTGGCAGGCAAACAGGCAGACAATGTGAGAGAGAGGCACCCACACCCACACATGAATTATATACACAGGGGGGAAACAGAGAATGAGAGAGAGAAAGGAAGAGAGAAAGAGCAAGACTGGCACACACACACATATATATATATATATACATATATATATATGTAGAGAGACACGTACTAGACAGAAAGAGAAAGTGAGAGAGGCATATGTAATAGGTATGTATGTATGTATGTACGTACGTACGTACGTATGTAATATGTATGTCTGTCTGTCTGTCTGTCTGTCTGTCTATCTGTCTGTCTATCTGTCTGTCTGTCTGTCTGTCTGTATGTATGTATGTATGTATGTATGTATCGGAGGTTGAGTGAGTCCGACGTGAAACGGAGACCACCCTTACCGGGAAATCGATTTCGGTTCCGGGTTCGTGTCGTGCGTGCCGTGCGTGCGTGCGGCCGAGGCGAAGCTGCGTGGGCGGGCGAGCGGAAATCCTCCTGTGGCTGGGCCGCGGCCGGACCAAATGTAACTCCTCCGGCGGCCGGTGCCGCGCGGTGTCCCGCCGGTGTCCCGCGGGTGTCCCGTGGTGGTGTCCCGTTGAGTGACATCGATCGTGAGATTGATAGTGAGATCGATGCTGAGATCGATGTGGTGCCCCGAGGTGTCCCGTGGTGTCCCGTTGAGTGAGATCGATAGTGATATCGATAGCGAGATCGACTGGTGTCCCGTGGTGTCCCGTGGTGTCCCGTTGAGTCAGATCGATACTGAGATCGATACTGAGATCGATGCGGGGCCCCGAGGTGTCCCGTGGTGTCCCGCTGCGTGGGATCGATCGTGAAATCGATCGTGAAATCGACTGGTGTCCCGAGGTGTCCCGTGGTGTCCCGTTGAGTGAGACCGATACTGAGATCGATCGTGAGATCGATGTGGTGTCCCGAAGGGTCCCGTGGTGTCCTATGGTGTCCCGCTGACTGAGATCGATAGTGAGACCGATCGTGAGATCGAGAGGTGTCCCGCAGTGTCCCGTGGTGGCACGTGGTGTCCCATGGTGTCCCGTTGAATGAGATCGATAATGAGATCGATAGTGAGATCGACAAGTGTCCCGTGGTGTCCCGTGGTGGCCCGTGGTGTCCCGTGGTGCCCCGTTGAGTGGGATCGATAGTGAGATCGATTGAGTCAGATGTTGGTTCCCCCCCCCCAACTTCGTTATCAACCGAAGGGTTGTCGTATAGCATTAATGTACAGATCCTTCCAACAGACCATCTCGAATGATCTTTGACCTCCCGACACTCCTGATCATCTCTCCTGTTCTCTCTGACTGCCTTTCTTCTTCTCCTCCTCGTCCTTTGCGGTGCCTCCCCCCGTTTTCCTCCTCTTGATCCTCCTCCTCCTTCTCTTCCTCCTTCTCGTCCTCTTCCTCTATCTCCCTCCCTCCATCCATCCATCCTCCTCATCCTCGCCCACCTCCTCCCTTCCTCCGCCTCCTTCTTACCACCATTATATCCTCCCTCCTTCCCCCTTCATCCTCCCTCCTCCTTCGCTTCTCACGCCATTCCTCCCCTGTCCTCCTCTTCCTCCTCCGCGTCGTCGTCGTCCTCCCCCTCCTCGTCCCTTCTCCTCGTGCGCGTTTGATTCCCTCGCCGCCACCATCCCCTCTCCTCCCTGTTACCCTTCTCCCCCACCATTCCTCAGACGATGGTTTGGTGATTTTGACGCTTGCGAGCACGAGGAAGGTGAGGGCGGCGATGAGTTTGTGTTTGCCTGGAAGCGCGCGATGAGATGGCATGAAGGTCAGATATAGAGAGGGGTGATACGAGAAGCGGAGTCGACGGATGATCGTTGCACATCGGCGTCTTCGGAACGGTTGAGGAAGGCGACGAAAACAACGCAAGCGCATATAAGCAGGACGCGTCGGAGAGGGAGATTGGCAACAATGATGTTCTTCGCGACTTCTTTCATGATGTTTCCCATTGCGCCATTAGGGCTTATTATGATCACCTTTCTTTCTGTCCTACTTCCTTCTCTCCTCATAGCCGCTTTTGGCTTCCAGTTTCAAGGGCCCCCCGGGCCCTCGAGCTGAGCAGCCAGGTCCGATGGAGGGCCGCCCGCGAGCTTCGAGCAGACCCTGCGACCCCGCCGTGAGTCTCTACCGGGTTGCGTGGGCGGCTGCGTCGTCTGGGCCCTCCCCCTGGCAGGCCGTGAGCCGGCGCGCCTTCGCCGCGCGCTCTCGCGAGCGCTCGACCGTCGGCGCGCCGTCTGCGGCGGGCTCCACATCGCCAATTGGCGAGTGCCTTCGGGGACCTAGCAAGCAGCCGGTCGGAAGCAAGCAGCCGGTCGGAAGCCCTCCCCCCACGAAGGAGTTCGTTCAGTTGGCGGGGGATGGGCTGCTTACCGGCCGCGGCACACGCGTCGGCGGCGGGGGCGCGACACTTCCTGGGGCGCTCGACAGCGCGGCGCAGGGGGCCAACAGGCACCTCATCATGGCGTGCGAGGTGGCGTCCTTCGCCGGCATCGCGACGAGCCGCAACGTGGCTCTCGCGCTTGACGCCCGCGCGGGGGCGGCTGGCGGGGGCGCCGAGCCCGGCGAGAAACTCTAGAATGCGGCCGCGGAGCTGGACCGTGCGGCGCTGGATCGGCGAGCGCTCGACGTGCTCCGCGAGGCCCGCGCGACCGCGGGCGCTCAGGCCAACGCTTGCGCGCGAGCTGGGTGAGGCCGAGCCCGAGTTCGCGGCGCGCGTGGCCCGCGAGTCCCAGCGGCGTCGCGAGGGTGCGCGGGCCGAGCAGCAGCGCGAGGCGGTCTTGGCAGCCTACCGCGTCAAAGTCCGCGCGGCCCTCGAGCTGGAGAACGTCCACCTCATGGGCGAGGGGGCGTGAGAGTCGGCCTCGGCGGTGAATGCGAAGGACGCTAGGGGGGCTGCAGCGCCGCGCGGGCATGGAGGAGGAGGCGGTGGTCGACCGGGGGGTCGCGCCCCTTGCGCCCGCGACGCGGCGCTGGCGAGGGTCGAGAAGACTTGCCTGAAACCAGCCCACGCCAAGACGTCGCGCCACAAGGCGCCCGGCAAGTTCGAGAAGAAGAAGAAGAAGACGCGCAAGCTCCGGGCGCGCAGCCGGGCCCAGATCGCCGACCGCGTCAGGGGGCAGCTGCGCGCGCGCGCGTCGGCAAGCAGACGCAGGTTGGCACGACGGCGCCGGCCCGCAAGATCAGGTCACTCCAGCGACGCCATCGACGCGCGGGCCGAGACGGGGAACACACTACAGGAGGCATTCTGCAGGGGGCACGGCGCCTGAGCGGAGGCAGCGCGCGGGCGCGCGCGCGGCGCGCGCGTCTGCGCTCGCGTGGGCATCGCTGCCGATAAGTCGCCGACCCGGGAGCAGATCGGATGTTGAGCTGAAGGCTAGCTCGAGCGAGAGCAGGCTCATTGCTGAAGAGAGTCAGAAGTGCAGCTTTCAAAATTGGTCTCCAATAGCCGCATTGCGACGTTCGGGGGCAGGTGAGAACGCATGCGCGGAGCTGCGCACGTTTGTCGCAATGTAGTTAGGATTGGGCGCCGTTGCATTATAATGCGCAGCAGTGCGCGCGCTGCTACCGAGCGAATGCTCAAGCGAATGGCCATAACGTTCAATGAACACGTCCTTCTGTGGCACGCCAGCGACGCAACCAGCACGTCGTTAAACGTCGGAAAACCTTATATCCGAATGCGAGAACGCTGCGA